TAGTGTACTAGATCTAGTTGCGCAGGGACTGCTTAATTCCACATCAGCTAGTTATCTCGTTGTCGGGTTTTCTCGTACCGATGCAGGCCGCGAATAAACACCGCTGTGGGCGTGTTATCTGCTCGCTACTGCATCTTACGGTCGACAGGATTCGATCCGCTTCTCGAATTATGAGAATAATGCGGTAGAGCTCCTCTCTCCCGTCGCGGTCCTCTTCGAAACAGATCTATTTCGGACGCCTCGCGCGGGTTACGTTCCATTTTCTCCGCGAGTGTGACGTTGGATGTCGACGGAGACGGAGATGTCCTGTCGGCAATCGATGAGCCAGTGCTTGTCGCGCTTGTGTCAGGCCGCCTGGCGCTGCGACTGGCCAGAGTTTGATGTGACGTGAATTGCTTAGGTGTTTACATGTCCCGTTCCTACATGCGATACTTCTTCCCCTGTCCCCCACACACCGGCGTGGCCTTTAATCCATCAACTTCTACTAGACACGTGTCACTCTCAAATAAGACACGCCCTCGATTCCTCCAGGCGCACGGCCGCGACCATAAGCTATAGTCTGAAACTACGATAAGTGACGTGAAATGAAATACTAGTACATCGCCGATATACCTCTAATATGCGCCTATACTATAACCACTATCCTTGCCTTTGCTACATGACACACCTTCTACCTGGCTGAATTTCTGTCGAGAATATATATGTGTGTGTGCGTGTGTGTGCGTGCGTGCGTGCGTGCGTGCGTGTGCGCGCGCGTGTGTGTGTGTGCGTAGTTGAATAGCTATAGCTGTATATATATATATATCAAGAGCTAATAATAATGCCGTGAAATAGCACTATTTTCCCGTTTTCCCGTTGTACACTCTAGGTATTTATTAGCTCTTAAATATATACATACATACATTTTATATGTGCATATTATTATTATCAGCAGCGAATAAACACCCATTTCTTTTAGGCACTCCTGATATTGTATATAAGAAGAAATACACGTGTAGTCAGCATAATAATATATGATGATATATTATGATAAACTATGCGTGATATATGATCAGGAGTCTATCAATTGACTGATCAATATATTGATAGACTTCTGATATGATGATATTATATAACGATGAAGCTATGTGCCTAACCATCGTGTCCCTCTCTCTTTGCTTGCAGGAGAGGTGCTATCGCTGGCTGGGGTTGTGACGGCCAGCCGGGACAAGAGGAGAAGCCAACAGTTCCTCCGCTGCTACGACACGCGGGGAGACAGCCTCTTCTTTGCATTCGACGCGAAGGGCGTCTTCAGTCCGATCGCCAAAGAGGAGAACATCTCGGGCGTTCACACGATAAAGGATGTTCTCGGAAAGTTCCGACTGCCGCTCACCGTGCGGCTCGTCTCCGGCGCGATGCCGCAGTCGTCGCCCTCTAGCGGCGGCGGCAAACTCGGCGGCGGCGGCGGCGGCGCTGCGTTCGCGCGCGAGATCCGCCTGTTGAGCAGCTACGAGGAGGAGTGCATCCTGGCGCATCCGCTCGATAAAGACGCGACGAACAACAACAACCGCATCGTCACGCTGCCGGTCACCGCCTGTCTGAAGCTGTCGCCGGCGAAGAACCAGGCCGAGCTCGACCAGAACCGAAACCTGATGCGCTTCCGTGACAAGTGCGCGAAACTGCTGCCGGAGATCATGGAGAACATGCAGGTCTGCGAGGAGAGCTACGGCAAGGAGATGAAAGTGCGGCCGCGACCGAAGCCCGAGCCGGCGCGGGGTCGCCCCGGATGTCCGCCGGCCGTCGACCCGACGGCGCAACCGGAGACGGAAGAGGATATTGTCTACAAGGAGATCGACGACATCTACGGTATGGTGGTGCGGGGCATCGTGCCTCTGCGCGCCTACACGGAGATGAAGCACGAGGAGGCGCGAGAGAAGAGCATCGATGCTTACCAGAAGACGCCGCCGAGGCTGACGGCGGCGTCGTCGCCGAAGAACGAGCTGACGACGTCGCTGGCGGGCGACGACAAACCGCCGCTGCCGCCGCGCAACGGCGTCGCGTCGCCGCGCAAGATCAGCGCCCCCTCGCGGGCCGGCGACAATCTAAACCATCTGGTGTACAGCAACCGAGTGCCAAACGAGAACAGTGCGAAGCTGTCGAATTCAAATCTGAAATACGTTGGCGGCGGCGGCGGGGGCGGCGGCGGCGGGGGCGGCGGCGGTGGCGACGACTGCCACAAGGTCTTCAACGGAAGCTCGGAAAACCACAAAATTTTTACCGGAAACTCGGAGAACCACGTCGTCTATAGCGCCGCCGAGGACGACAGCGAGTCGGTCTACGACAAGATCGACCTCGGAGCCGAGTCCCCGCGCATCGGCGGGGGCCTGCCTCCGCCCGCCGACCCGTACTTCGAACCGCTCGGAGTACAACCTATCTACAAGAAGGAAAAGGTTCCGAACGCCAGCAATCGTCTGCTGAATCTAATCCACAACGCACCGAAGCACCCGAAGCTGAACGGCGCGCACAAGCCGACAGGCGTCGTCGTCGGCGGCGGTTACATCGGCAGGACGTCGGCGAGCAGCACGCCGAACAAGCGCCACTCGACGGCGGGCGTCATCCCGCTGGCGCACTCGCGCAGCCAGCCCGTGCTGATCGACGTGAGAACCCCGCAGCAGCGCGTCCAGGAGAAGAAACGTCACAGCTTTATCGACTCTAACGGAATGCATACGAGTTCCAGCTCCGGCTCGGACGGCATGAAGTACAACTCGGCGCAGGACCTGCACGAGCACAACTACGAGGAGAAGGTGTTGCGGCAGGAGAAAATCAAGGCGGCCGACCAGCGCCTCAAACGGCTCTCGAACTTCTTCCTATGAATGACATGCAGCGCATGTATTACTGTCGTAGCGCTGTCGTGCGTCTAGAAGCCAGGCCTATCAAATATTCACCCATAGCAGAGGCTATATCTATATCTATATATATGTGTGCGTGTGTGTGTGTGTGTGTGTGTGTGTGTGTGTGTGTGT